TGGGAATGTCTTGGTACGGTTGCACACGTCGCAGGTGCTTACGTACTCGTTGACAAACTTGGACATTCCAGGCCACCAGTAGTTCTGTGATATGAGCTCGAGGGTTTTGGCACGACCGCCATGACCGGTGATTGGCGAGTCGTGGTGGATCTTGACAATATCTCGCCGGAGCTCCGCGTTCTTTGGGACATATACGCATCCGCGGAACAACAGAAGCCCCTGCTCAGCATTCCACTCCTCAAAGCCTCTTTGCAGCTGGGGCGGCCCGAGGTCCTGCACCTTTTCAAGTGCCTCGGCCACCTCCCGATCCTTCTCTGAGCACTCCCTGATGCGCTTCAGAAGCGACTGATTGGCCGTCACCAAGGCATGACCACGTCGGGCGGAGGCGATGTGGAACCTTTCAGGTCGGAGAACCACCTGATCGGTGTTATCGTCCTCATCGCCGATCTGATGGTCTGATCGACGTGACAGGGCATCAGCCTTTCCATTCGACGTTCCGGCTTTGTGCGTGATGCGGAAGTCAAAGCGAGCCAGGAATAGCGACCAGCGGGCTTGGCGATGCGTGAGATGTTGGGATGTGTGCCAGTACTCGAGGTTCTTGTGATCGGTGACGATCTCGAACTGATTGGGCAATCCCTCGAGATAGTGGCACCAATCGTCTAGTGCCTCAATGATCATGAGCATTTCCTTATCGTGGATCTCGTAGTTTCACTGTGCCGGATCCATTGCATGGGATCAGAAGGCTACTGGGTGCCATTTGCCGTCATCCTGCTTCTGCATCAACACGCCTCCGGTGGCGTACCCCGAGGCATCGACTTCGATGCGCGTCTCTCGGTTAGGGTCGTACAGCGCTAAGACTGGAGTCATTGCAAAGAGTCATTTGAGCTCATCAAAAGCGTGCTGCTCCTCTTCGCCCCAATGCCATGGGTCATTCCCTGTGAGCTGGTCGAGTGGTCGCGAGATCTTGGTGAAGTCCTTAATGAAGCGGCAGTAAAAGTTGGAGAACCCCCGGAACTTCTGAACATCTTTTTTGTTCTGGGGTACTGGCCACTCATTAATTCCTTTCAACTTCACAGGATCCATTGCTACCTCATCGCCACCGAACACATAGCCGACGTAGTCGACCTTGGGAACGTTCCACTCGCACTTCTCAGGCTTCAGAAATAGATCATTATCCTGAAGGCATCGAAGGACCTCGCGCGTGACCTTATCATGCTCCTCTCGATTGGTGGAGAAGATGAGTATGTCATCCAGGTACACGAGGACCTTTCCACCGACGATGAGATCATGGAAGATATCATTCATCATCACCTGGAAGGTCGTGGGGGAATTGGTGAGGCCGAAGAACATCACCAGGGGTTCATACAGTCCCCAGTTAGTCATAAAGGTGGCCTTCCATTCGTCACTGGCCTTGATCTGGATATTGTTATATCCCCATCTGACATCGAACTTGGTGAAGAGTGTGGCTCCGCGGAGCTTATCCACCATCTCGGCGATCAACGGCAAGGGGTAGCAATTTTTGACCGTGATTGCGTTCAACCAGCGGTAGTCCTGCACGGGTCGAAGCGTCCCTTCCTTCTTTTTGATGAAGAAGAAGGGGGACGAAATGGGTGACTTCGATTCCCGTATATAACCCTTCACCAGTTGCTCCTTTAGGAACTTGTCCAGCTCCTCTTGCTCATTGTTCGATAGTGGGTACACCTTTGAGTGGAACATTGAGTAGCCGGGCACGAGTTCGATCGCATGATTGTACAGCTTCCTGTCAGGTAGCCGTTCTGATGCTTCCTTCGAGAAGACCTTCAGAAACTCGTGGTACTGTTTAGGCACCGATTCTTTGGCAGTCTTAACGACCTTTTTTTTGATCACTTCCTCAGCAAACAACTGGGAGTACGTATGCCCGGCTGCGACAAACAACTGAGGGGCGCCGGGAAGCGTAATACCTTGCTCCCAGGCTTCGATCAAATCGGCCTCATCCCACTCTACTTCCGCCGGATCTTCTTCGGGTTCGAAGTCCGGGAGTACCTTACTCCGGCAGGCGCCTACAACCAACCGTTTGGACTTCGGCGAACGCCTGCGCACCGTGGGCCTGTCCCCCGTATCACGCACAGTCGTTGCTTGCTCCATCCAGCCAGTCTTCCTGGCACTGCACGTTTCAGGACATCATGATAAATTTAGGGAGCCTGACTCCCAATCAATCTCAGGGTTGTGTTCGTGTAGCCAATCCAACCCGACGATCACATCTTCTGGACCGATGTCCGTGACCGTAAAGACCGTTTTCTCTACATGGTGTCCTATCTGCATTTCGAGGATGGCCACCTCCGAGATGCTTCTGTCTTTATTGAGGGTGCCGTCAATATTGTATAGCGGAATCGGTTCTTTCAATTTCCATGTTTGCACCTTGTTCTCCATAATGAATCATTTATTGATAAACTTCGTAGTGGCTCCGCTGTCCACCATTGCGATTATGTCCTTGTGCCGTCTCTTCCCTTTGAGGCATACTGGAATGTGGAAGTGTTGGGACCCGTGGTCCAATTCGTAAACATTCGCAGTAGCCAATACATTGTACATGTTATTATTACGCGGCCCGATGCGTGCAGCATGAAGCGCGGACCGGATCAAAAAGACTCCTCCTTCATCGCCCGATAGTGCTCGAGCTCCTCGCGCATCGACTTCACCTGTGCCATCAAGTCCGCCAGCTCGGAACTTTCCGATTTCGCTGAAGCGGCACTTGTACTTGCCGAGAATGAAGCAACGGGGGCGCTTGTCACCGCCTGGGTGGATCCCGAGGCAACCGTAGCCCGCGCGTCGGCGCGTTTTGTGTAAGGCTTGTCCTTACAATTGGGGCACTCGAAGCGTCGGTACCCTTTCTTCCCACAGCCAAAGCATTCGCCTGGGAAGTCGCCTTTTCCGACGGCCGCATTGATGCTGGCCGAAGCTCCTTGTGACCGGGGTGCACCACCACGTGCCCCACCGCGTCCTCGACCTCGGGCCGAGAAAAAGTTGTTCAGCTCAGGCCATCGGGCCCAGCTGATGTCGAGGATCTGCTCGACCTCGGTGGTGCGCTTGTCAGCTTCTTGCCATGTGGCAAAGGTCTCGAGCTCGATCTTTCGGTAGACGCGGGAGGGGATGCTGCTCAGGTACTTGTCGCGTAGCTCCAGGTCCCCATACCCGGAGTGGTCTGCTGGACCTTTGAACAGCGTGGAGAACTCCGCAGTGGTGCATTTTTCGCGGACTGACTTATCCGCGCAGAGCTTTGCTAGCTCCACTTGTGCTGCCACCTCGTCGTCGAGATTGCCGAAGCGGGCTTTGAAGGCGGCGGCAAAGGCTGCTTCGTTCCTGAATGGGGTCGTGGCCCCCTGCGCACCTATCTGCACTGCCACGAGCTGGGCAAAATAGGGAGTGGCCCAGGTGCGGGTGTCTCCATCAAGCAGGCTCAGTGCAACCTGCACTTTGAGCTCGATGGTAGTCAATGACGTGTTGACCAGCCAGTAGATGCGCAGCTGCGACAGGAACCTGTCGCACTCGATGATGGTTTTGCCATCATAGTGGAGGGGGAGGAGGAGTTTCAGGGTCTCCTTGTCGGGGGCGGTCGAGGGAGAGGACATTATCGTCGGCGGGGGGGACGGAGGACGTTGTGGGGGCGGAGGCGGCTGAGGTGTCCCTCCGCTGGTCGGACTATGAGGGGAGCGAGTGCGCGAGCGGCCTCGCGGCGGTGATGGCGCTGAAGGTGCTGGAGGAAACCCGGAGGCGGGGTTACGTACGTCAGGGACTGCTGACGTGGGGGCGAGCGCTGTCGGCGGGGCGGACCAAGCAGAATCCGCGGACTCAGACTCCGAGACTCCTTCTTCACTCGCACTCTGCTCAGGCTCAGGCTCTGGCGCAAGGTCTGTAGGGAGATCTCCTCGCGCTTGACTTGGACCGGCAACCGGTTGGGGAAGACAGGAGCTAGGGAAGACAGGGCGAGAGTGCCGTGAGGCAGATCGAGATGCGAGATTGCTCCGAGGACCGAGCGGGTGTTGAGCCCTTCTGATCGCCTTGTAGCGTGGGTAATCTTGTTCGATCGACCGGGGTGTCCGATTGGGGCATGGCTGCTGCTCGCAGGTGAGGATGATGGTCTCAGGGCCATCTGGGATGTAGACGTCGACGAGGTCCTGAGCGTCGAAAGTGTGAATTTGGCCTTGACAGGCAGCCACGATGGATGGGGGGAGGACGGGAAGGTGTGTGTACTATAAAGGCCGTGCTATACTAGCTTACACCTACGGCGCCCGAAGTAACGCTAGGGTTCGCGATTCACGTGGGGCACAGTACTGCTTTTGGCTAGTATGCAGCAGGAACCTAGTCCACGCGTCCATAAGGACAAGCACCGCCCACTAAAGTGCAGGTGCTGAAAGGTTCGTTCCCTGAGCGGTGGCGATGTATGTACGCTATCTACGTATCGTAGTGTATAGTAGGGGTGCGCACCACCCGACCTGTAGGGAAGGAAAGTGAGGGTTTGGGTTCCGAGAGAATGTCGGCAGCTATGAGAGTTTCGACCTAATGTCGCGACTTGAGGTCAAGCAACAGGGGGAGACCTAAGAAAGCTGGGGGTGTTCGACTGGTTCTCACCAAAGTGATGGTGAGCAACACTCAAACCTAAGGCTAGGGACAAGATAATATATTGGTTAGTGAAGTAAAGAAAGGATACAAAGGAAGGCTTACTGGCCTAGGGACAAGAGGTCGAAACTGAGGTCCCTAGGGCAGCAGAGGCCGGCTTATATACAAGGGAAGTTTAGGGGAGGCTGTGCGCACTGGTCCGTGCACAGCTGGTCCATGCGCAGCATGCTGACGCGGCCCCGGGGGCCGGTGAGTCAGAGCGGCTGTGTCAGCGGAGCCCGAGCTGTGCCGTGCACTGCCGCCCCATCTAATCTAATCGTCCAGTAGATAAGGACTTTGTTCGTTCGAGCGTATAGTACAGAGGTCGCGGGTTCGAGCCCGCGAAAAGGAAAATTAAAAACGGCTAGGCGCTGTGCCAACTCGTGACACCTGTCCTTTTAGGGCAAGGTATGTAGGCACCTTCACATGACATACATGACTCGTGATGTACATTAGAGTAATTAGTATAGTAAGTAATGTGCTGTGTTACACTTCTGGAGTTCGGAGCATAACTGGAATGGGAATTGAAAACCAATCAAATCTCGAGGTTACAAGAATGATCTGGGTTCATGACCGAGAGGATGCCGAAATGATAGCGGTGACAGTATTGAAGACAGGATCAGCGGTTTGTATGCTGTGGTCAAGGAATCAATTTACAGCATTGCTTTCATATAGAGTGATGATCACGCCAGTGACGAGGACAAACTACAGGTCCGATCAGGAGCTCCGCATTCATTGGCGGTCGTCTGAGAGCAAGTACACACGTACGGCGTCACAGTTGGGGTGAGCTGCCGCTCAGGGTTGTGCTGTGGCTCGTTCCATTGGCACACTGCGATCTAGCAAAGGGATTAAATCAGGAAATGCGTGTGTAATCAAACAGATGCGCCTCGTACCCACTCTCTACCACCGGCGCCGCCGACTGACCTGCAGATGCGACTGCTAACGACGACGCAAAAAGACATCTGAGGAGGCTGTCAGGATGAATCGAGTGATGCGTATGGAGAGGAGTTACGGACGGATTCTTCTGACTGAATGATATGTGGTTTGGGTATAGCAGCAACAGATCGTGAGCCTCGTGTCAGATGAGGCTTCATTCGCGTTTGAAAGAATGTACCATCAGTCCGTCTTGGGATTGACGGGTGCATCATATGCGGAAGCGTGTAGTCCTCCAGAACTTCTTCAAAGGCATCGCCTGTCTCGTTTACGAGATACCTCGAATCACCTGGTTGAATAGCGCCACTTACGCAGAGAAGCTGCTCCACAGTGACCGCCGTTTCTGCAAAGCGGTATTAGCTGTCATGTCTGGTTTTTACGGCAGAGAAAGGAATTACAGTTCTGTCCGAAGCTCAGAGCCTGCCGCTGGTAGGTGCGGAATCGAGAGCCGGAGGAGATTATTTGCAGGAACCATCAGCATCGACGATCCCACATGCTTGCAGTTCTTGTATTCCACAAAGCGACTGCCGCTTCCTGCTGGTTGAAGGCAGGCAGATAGCCATACGAATATCCGATGCCCAAGGGTTGGGCCTGGAATGCTTTCCGGTCAGTCACCAACATCGAATTGCTACCGCTTGCACATACGGGTATATTGTCTTATGAGTTCGCGAGATAAGCCAGAGCTTGATGTCTGGTGGTCACACCGCGCTCAGCGATATTATGAGGGGATTGTTACTTGAGGAACTACGACTTGTGTGCCGACATTAGTAAATGGTGTAGAACGGTACACGGCTTGAACATACTGGATATTCTCATCGGAAGTAAGGTGGTAATGCACCGACGTCTGGTAGACGCCGCGTGTCATCTGATAAACACCACGCGTGCAGTTGCATACCCTCTCTGTGGCCGATAGCTCGAGAGCAACGGATATCATAGGGGAATGCACTAGGAATGAAGGCACGCAGGCAGCGCAATGCTGTTCAATACAAGTGCACTTCCCGCCTCTTACCGACAATCGCCACGCACGGTCAGGAAATATATCTGGCTCATTCGTGCTTTTTGCGATGGCAGGATCAGTCCGTTTGCGGGTGTGGATCGACGTTACCACATGAGCACCGGTCGTCGCGGTGGGTCGACGGAGTTCTCCTACGAGGATCGTTTTCCAACAGACGATGCTGGATGTTCAAGACTTGACGAGCATGTGCAACTCATGGCAACATAAGGTACAGGGCTAGATGTCAAAACGTGGGACCGCGTCTGCATAGAGTGTCAGTTTGGATGAGGAACGTCAGTCAAATATTCGCCCGCAAATGCGGTACAGGATGTACCTTGAGAAATAGCTTTCCCCCGACCAAAGCTTTTGCACAACAAGCTGCACATCGCCAGGTTGCTCTTGTCGATATGCGACCATCTCTACGTTCTCAGGGTCCGCAGGCGGTCCCATCGTCCACTCATCTCGAGCGTGATCGCAATCTAGACACCACTGACGAACGCTGATTCCCCGCTGAGTATAACCATCCGCGGTGTAGGCTTGTCTGCCCATGCTGGTGTCACTAGAAACTTTCCTCTTTGTCCCTGAGACAATTGGCCGAAATGGGCGAGAAAATCGGACAGTGTCGTCATCCAACAGGGGAGAACAATACTTCGTTAGAGGGCGGCGGAAATAACCATCAGGAAAAGGTGTGAGCTCGCCCGTTGCCCACAACCGCCTGTCGGGTACTATATCCCAAGGCAGGGGAGCCGTCCATGACCCATGCCGTCGGATGAGGGTGTATGCATGATTGACCTCCTTTTGGGGCAGCAGATCCCGCAAGACATGTTGGTAGTGCAGTGGTCGCTTGCTCAATTTCTGGCCTGCTCGGAATATCATCAAATGGAGATGGGCACCCAACTCATGCCATCCGAGCGACCGATATGAGCAAGGAGCCGTCATGATGGAAGGTGTGATAATATTATTCATGGTCGCGCACGAGTCTGGGGGGTGCTCGTCCTCTGCAATAATGCAATATTTGTAGGCCTACATCATTGTGAGCACGACAATTGGCGAAGACGGAACATAATACATACAGCGCAACGATCGAGTTTTTGCAAATGATCAGGATGGGGTATCATCAATAAGCGGTTTGTCTCCCAAAGTTCTCGGAGGTCACATCGGACTGCATGCGGTATATGAGGCTTCAATAGACGTGTACAACAATAGAATATTCGCACGGAACATGATATTCGCAGGTATGTGATAACGGAGGGCGTTGTAGTTAGTGCGCATGTTGAACATCATGTAGTCAATCTTTCAGTCCACCTTGTCAGCCACAAAGCCAAAGTATTGGGCAGGCCCACTCACCAATAGCTGAGGCATGTCAGGAGGTAAGATATAACACGCCTCCACCTCAGCAGACACGCAGCCGGTGATCATGCATCTCGGGTGAGGTCCGAAAGGAACACCGTCCTCGACCTTCGACGCGTCGCTCGGGGTGCCAGACACTCACATTCTCTTCGCACGCATCTCATCAATAATCGTGCCTGCACGTCGTTTTCGTGGCAAAGGACAGGAGCGGCCTTCAAGTGGCGAATCTCGTTCGATGTGGACAAACACCGGATCGATCGCACACGAGTGAACCTTGGTTGTCTGGAAGTCGCCGCTAATTATATGCACAGAACAGTCCTCAGAAAGACTCGATGGGATGCGGTCGGCTATAGAATCGGATGAAGAAAAGTGGCCACCCTTCACAGGCAAGCTCTGCACCAAAAGCTCAGGCGTCCTCAGTTCGCGTCTGGGATGGCCATCAGCAGAAGTATGAGCCATGTCAGAGATATAGCTAGTGGAAGCTTCCATTGCTGCGTCGTGGATGGCGCAAGTTCATGGAAGGTAGTAGTTGTGTTGACCAAAAGCGTGCGCCACTGATGCCTTTGGGTGATTGCTTAGTCAGCACCATCGCCAAGTTCGGATGCGAGTTATGCCTCCAATCGCACGTACACGCAAAGTTCTGGTTACATCATAGATTGTTCTATGATCAGTCCGACTCAGCGCTGATCAGCGTGCTCAGTGTACTAAGCGTTCGGATGTTCGGCTACCGCATCGGTACTGCCGTTATGCTTCCGGATCCGACGATGACGCACAGTATGCGTTGTGGTCACCTGCAAGCGGGCCTTTCGATAACATCGTTACAGCAGCTCTGTTCAGCGAGCCAATTTCGCTATTGCAGCGTGCGGTGAGTTATGGAACTAGGTCAATATGTCTGCCTGGCGAGGCTCCAGATAGTGTGGTGGCGTAGTCGTTGCGGCCTCCGTCCGGACCCCTTCCAACGCGTGGCGGTGTCCTGAATCTCAGAGATGTTCACAGGTGCGGCCGTCATGAGAGAGCGGATCTCCCACAAGTCTCAATGACTTACCGATTCAATGCGACATAATCCAAGTATCACGGGTATTGTCAGAGGGTCCTGGAGGATGTACTTAAGGCGAGACGCAGTTGCAATTCTATGCACAATGAGATCATCACCCCCTCAAAGCAACCTCAGGCTGCCGATATCCTGGCAACCGCTGTCTTTTTCTTCAAGAGATAGCTACCAGGAGATGATTGACCTGTTTGCACTGCACAGATTGTGCTCATGCAGCAGACGTCGGGCCGTAGTAGTCATCCTAGCTAGAAGCGTGTACGTACAACTCGGTCCAGATGGGACTCACAGGCGGGGCATGAGGGAGCTTCCAAGCTATGATACAAATTGAGCCATCAGAGATGCTCTTGACGTTTGTCAGCTTGCGATCATTTCTAGCCTCGAGTGACCAAAACTCGAGAGGGCATCAGTTGCAGACTCAGGCTGGTATCAAGCGCGACGCGATGTCACCTGTTGGAACTTGAGATTGTGGCGAGCGCATGCCACCGTATTTGGCATTGTTTGTAGTACCTCGCAGACTTTGCGCGAGCCGTCCTGTATGTTCCTTACGCGTTTGACAGAGCTCAGACAAACGCGATATATCTTCGTTGATCATTCTCGCTTCGGGTCTCGGACAAACTTCAACATCACCGACTCACTGCACTAGAATGGTTGGCTAGGTGTAGTCTCGCAGACTCTGCTGGTTTCGATGACGCACGGCTTTCAGGCTGGCGAAAGTCAGTGGGGGCCATCGCTCGAAGCTATGACTGCGATGGTTCTCATTGGCCGATCATCGATCGCGACTTGCTCTAGGCGCCGGCCTTTCGTAGTCTCCGCGTGAGTCCTTTTGACGTCCTTTGACGACTGATGCGTCAAGTGCCTTATACGCTCATGAGCCGAGTAGTGACCAGATTCCGCTCGCCTCGACACTTTGCGAATATATCTACGTTCCGAACCCCTCCCCCCCTCCCCATTACTAGACAGCGCGATTCTCGCACGAAGCGAAAATTGCGCTGTCTGCAATCAGTCGTTGCATGCAGGTCTGTCAAGCCTCCAGATTGTGAGCGTCAGTATCTTTCCATCTTTATTTCTGCAGTTTGGATGGTTGTCCGGCCGAACACCTAGTCCAGGTTGGGCTCCTGTCACGCCCGGAGCTTGATACGATTTCCTGTAATAGTGGTCATCCACACGCCATGATCCCTTAGGTGTGTTACTGTTTATCTAGGAAATGTTACAAAGGCGGATGCAATCACCGGATGTAGCAGTTGCTTGCCAATGATAACCGGTGGCTTACACCACCAAGTTTCATAATATAGAGTAACCGTGTCACCTCACCCGTCGTCCTGTTATCAAGCGTGAGGCTTCCTGTAACATGGCTCTCGGAATATATACAGAGGCTCTTGTGGTTAGAAACCGTACTCAGCTGCATTTCTTTACATGGCGAGGATAATAGACGGTCCTCCGCACTCTCAGCCATGTAACCTCGTACTAATCCTTTTCAGCTAGATCTATCACTCGTGCCCAGGCGTCGTATATGATACGACTGATTGTAAGTGGACTATGATCTGAATCCAACCAGCCTCGAATCGGCACACGACATTGATACACTGATTGCGTACTGTAACGCTCCGGGATTTTAATACAACGCAACTGGCTTCTCATGCATTTGATGAGCAGCGATATGATTAGATTACTTCTCACAGGCATGGAGTAGAAAAATGCATGGATAACTATATGATGGGATACTACATAATGAGGCATAGATGGCTAATCATAGCAAGGCATGATTCTCGTGTCCAAACTGGCCATAGGGCCATATAAATCCTGATAGTCATCCATCCAACACCCAGCATTTACCGAGTAACACGTGAATTTCTTGGTTCCGCCTAACAATTCACATTTGTCATGGTAGGAGTATGAATGAAATACAGCCAACGCACCGATCAAGACAGCTAGAGCAAAGCGGCACATTGGGTAGCGGCATGCACATTTTGGCGGCGAGGCAGGTTTTTTGACCATCGTTGGAAGAGAGCCAGCTCTTGACGGAGAACTTCGATCGCTTCATAATCGACTCCGTGGCGCTTGTAGAAGGCATCTAGAGCCATTTAGAACCCATTTAGTCCACTCTTCGACAGGATCAACCCCCCATTTGTATATAACGAGCTGGGGAGGAATTGGGGATTCCACATAGCCCAAGATCTTGATATCCCTCGGAAACGCAGCGCTCTCCTCTGTCTCGGGAAGGTCGCGATGGGCAACGACACAATATCTGTAGACGGGGACATCGGACGCTGCAAATAGCTCGGCTAGCGACTGGATAGCACCGTGAGCAAGATACCAGTCTAGCCCATGTCTCTGTACTCACCGAGGCACCACCTATGGGGACAATAGATCGTGCGAGATGATCTTTGACAATATGAGGCTCAGGCACGAACATGAGATGCCCTTGGTCCCACAAGCAGTGGATATCGGCTCTCACTATATGGAGTCTGGATCAGGGCTACGTCGAACAACCTGGGGATATACACTCACATAAGAAGATATTGAAAGGGGAGTCGACGTCGAACTCATCAAGCCCCCACCACGCCGCCACTCTCGCACACTATATGCGCGGACGCATCCGAGGCATGGTCACACTGGCATCATCAAGAAGTATTGACTACTTACCGTATCGTCGTCGGTCCTTCGCGGCACAACGTGACATCCTTGGACTGACTTGGCGTCCTGAAGACTCAACAGGCACCGTGATCCAGTAGGCGCCAAATAGGCGGCATACAACTTGAGATTGCTACCGCATGATTCGCCATCGGGCTTGACGGCCTTCAATTTGGAGCGTTTGTCCTGATCCAAAGCTTCTGGACCCATAAGAGCTGTTACGCCACACGAGGACGTTGAAGTAAGTCCATGCCACATGACAAGCCAAAGCGTAACGACGTACCTTTAAAGACGTTTA